ACGACCACGACGCCAAAGAGGACGACGACGACGAACACGAGGAAAGACGGAGAACGACGTAGGTGACGACGACGACGACGCGGGAGGAGGGAGGACGGCGACGACGACGACGACGACGACGTCGCAAGAGCGCGCGCGCACGCTTTTGTTGAAAATCAGTGTTGCGAAACCTTGTGTGTTTGTAGGTTTTTTGGGCACACGATTTTGACATCCTTCCGAAACCTATGGGTTTTGAGGGATTTCGGCACACGCGCGCGACGACGCGCGCGTCTGCAGTTGGTTTTTTTGGCAGAGGATTCTCGCGACGGCACACGCGCAAAGGCGTTCGACAGATTTCGACATGCGCGCGCGCGAAGCCCGTTTGGTAGCATGTTGTGAACATCCTGACAAACCTATGGTTTTTCAAGATTTCGCAAGAGCTCGCGCCTAAGCTCTTTTAGCACATCAGTGTTGCGAAACCATGTTGTTTTGAATGTTTTTTGGGAATTCGACTGCGACATCGTTCCGGCACCGAGGGTTTTTGAAGGATTTCGGCATGCGCGCCCGACGAGGCGCGCGTGCGCACTCCGTCCCATTTGTTGCAAGGGATTCGTGAACAAGTGTCATGTTAGAAAAAAATGCCCCCGCGTATTTTTTGTAACAAGGGAACCTAAGGGGGGGGCCGATACCTGCCCCCCTGGGACAATGTAAGTTCATATTTGCGATCGACATGTGGTCAGAATCGTATGTGGTTTACATACCCGAAAAGGGGGGATAACGCCGGGGGGTAGAGTCTGTTCTCTTTCTAGATCGGAGAATCTGCGTGGTGGTTGTATGTGGTGCAATCTATGTTGGGCAACCCGTATTGCGCAACCGTTTGTGGTGCCGCCTATGTTGTGCAATCTATGTTGTGCAAGCTGCGTGGTGAAATCTACGTTGCTCAATGTATGCGGGGCAACCTGTGTGACAACGACGCATCGGCGACGGGGCAACGACGGCGACATCATAGGCGCCAAAGCGACAGACAGGCCCAGAAGACGGGCGGCGACGGGGGGGCGACTGCGACAACAGCAACCAGGGCGGCAAGACAGGCCCAGACGACGAGGCGGCGACGCGGCGGCAACGGCCAGAACGGCAGACAGGCCCAGACGATGGGCGGCGACAAAGCGGCGACGGGGTTGCGACGGCAATCGCAGAGTCGCCAGAGCGGTAGGCAGGCCCAGTTCCGTAAAACAAACGGAGAACTTTTTTAAAAATGCAAACGCTGCTTAAAAAACGGACGCACTGTTCGCATTGTGTTGCTTTTGTGGCTGGGCATTGACTAGCTAGGTCATAACACAGCATAATGTAAGTGAATGGTCAGTTCATGCCACCACACAGCCTAATCGAGTGAACCGATCATGACTTGACTCACCATACCATGACATGCGATCACATAGTCAAAAACACCACCACAAAACACATAATGTACGTAGCACCGCGCCGTAGCCGCCGATTTTTTCGTTAAACCAATGTGGAAAGGTCGCGGGTGGGTCGCGGGTGGGTCGCTGTTGGTTCGCGGGTGGGTCGCGGGTGGGTCGCGGATGTAGGGCAGAAAACCCACCTCATAAGAACTACCCCGACAAGCGAAGCCCCTTAATAAGCGCACGCAAAGAATGAATCGTACAAGGCAGGGCTGTTTAGTCAACGCCCAGGGCCGTTTAGTACTTGTCAATTGTCGGGTCCCCGTGGTTGTTCCTCCCTTGAGGGTGGGTCGCGGGGTAGGTCGCGGGTGGGTCGCGGGGTGGGTTGCGGATGGGTCGCGGGGTGGGTCGCGGGGTGGGTCGCGGGTGGGTCGCGGGGTGGGTCGTGGGGTGGGTCGCGGGGTGGGTCGTGGGGTGGTCGCGGGGTGGGTGCGGGTGGGTCGCGGGTTGGGTCGCGGGTGGGTCGCGGGGTGGGTCGCGGGGTGGGTCGCGGGGTGGGTCGTGGGGTGGGTCGCGGGGTGGGTTACGGGTGGGTCGCGGGCAGGACGACGACAACAAACAACAACAATCACAAGAACAACAACCTATCAAGCAGAATCCTCACCACGAATTCCTTATTAGTGAACGCACCCATGGACAATGATTGACCGTTCGGCCCTTCATTCTGACAATAGCACACTTATCCACGCTGGGACTGATCGGGGACACACGAGCATAACAAGCAATATCATACCATACGAACATAAGTGTTCGGCCATTGCTGCCATTACGGCAGGAATCATATTAGTTGCGATGTGTGTTATCACAGTCGGCTAGACGCACATAGTATCGTGTTACAGAGTTGAGCACAGCATGTGCTGCAATAGCACATGTTTGCATGCCTCAACCGGGCATGTAATAACATCGCCTTGCAGCATATATTATAGCATAAAACATCACATCGTAATGTGACATACCAGGACAGAACACAGTATACCATAACATAACCAACCAGGTAATAGTATGGGTGCTCTACCACTGCCCAGTTGTGGCAGCGGTTATACGATTTCATCGTACGCAACATCACGGCTGAATAGCACCATATCCCTTGCAGAAGGGACAGATCATGCACCTGCCACCCGCACCAACATACATTACCCTGCGACGTACCCAACCAGTTGGCATAAAGTGGCAAGAGGAGCTGGCCCAAACTTCCCATGACAACGGCAGTGCAGGAGCCGTTATATGTTGTGCAAGCTACATGGGGTGCGCTCACATGGCACGATTCGCAGGACAACACCAGAAGGACGAGGAGCGAGGACCCATGCTTGAGGAGGACATGGGGGCGGGAACGAAGGGCAGGATAATGACGCGTGATGGGCCCAACCGTCATCGCGGCAGCCGCAGCAGAGGGAAGGGGGCAGGGGGCAGAGGACGACGACGAAACTGACGGGAGGAGACCGAACAGGTTGTTTCTCGGTAGTACGCTGAAGATTCAGAGCTCCTGCGCTATGACGCCGCGGCGCTCGTCAGCAGGATTAAAACTCCGTATAATTTGTGCAACAAGCCAGCGAGGCTTAGCTCTCCCGCCAGATTCCCTGCTTCCTTCTTGCACCTCTCAGCGCGGGAGCTAAACACTCGAAGGCGCGCCGCCAGGTCTGCAGGCGGCCCGCGACAGCTTCCCGATGGATCCCATCGGCAGCCTTTGAAAGTGGTGACAATTTCGCAGATCGCAGCCCCCAAGGGACGGCGATGTTTAATCTGAGTCTGGGTGGTGCTTCGCTCCGGTGAAACCCTGAGCAGCTGCCGCCAATTGTGGCAATTTCGCAGTTCGCAGCCCCCCAGGGATGGCGAGGTCTAGTCTGAATCTGGGTGGTACCTCATTCCGCTGGACCCCCCAGCAGCCTTCGAAAGTGGCGACATTTGTTCGCAGATCGCAGCCCCCAAAGCAGGCGACGTCTAGTCTGTGTGTGGGTGGTGCCTTCTTCCGCTGGGCCCCAGCTAGCCTCGGGATGGGTGTTAGTTTTCGCGGATCGCAACCCTTCAAGGATGGCGAGGTCTTTTTGAGTGGTGCGTCGCTCCGCTGAGACCCCCGGGCGACCCTCGAAATTGGCCGGTGTTCCGCAGATCGCAGCCCGCCAGGGATGGCGAGGTCTAGTCTGAGTCTGGGTGGTGTGTTATCCCGCTGGACCCCCCAGCAGCTTTCGAGAGTGGTGGCAGGTTTTCGCAGATTGCACTCCCCCTGGGCGGCGAGGTCTAATCTGAATCTGCGTGTTGCTTCACTCCGTTGAACCCCCAAGAGCCTTCGAAAGTGGTGACAATTTCGCAGATCGCAGCCCCCAAGGGACGGCGAGATCTACTCTGAGTCTGGGTGGTGCCTCGCTTCGCTGGACCCCATTAGCAGCCTCCGAAAGTGGTGGCAATTTCGCAGATCGCAGCCCCGCAGGGATGGCGAGGTCTAATTTGAGTCTGGGTGGTGCCTCACTCGGGCGAAACCCCCAACAGCTGTCGAAAATAGTGGCAAGTTCGCAGTTCGCATCCCCCCAGGGATGGCGAGGTCTAGTCTGAATCTGGGTGGTACCGCGTTCCGCTTGACCCCCAGCAGCCCTCGAAAGTGGCGAGGTAAAGACAGGAGGAAGGAGGATAGGGGAAGGAAGACGGGAGGGAAAGAGGGAAGGAAGGACGTGTGCGACCGCAGTGGTCTATTCAAAACGAGTACCCAGCGCAGGTCGGTTGGGAATGATTCCGACCAGCTAACGAATAAAACTAGACCATGGGAGTGTGAAGACGAGTGTAACACAAATCGTAACGGAGCTGGCTAAAGAAAACGTGAGCGCAATGCCCGCATACACGAACTGACAGAGAGTAGGAGCGCACACATAAATGCACAATATTGAGATCATAGAGGTGCATGTTCATAACAATTAGGCTATGGTGCGCTCGATCACAAAAGCACATAGCAAGCCATAGCAACACATACATGAGCACAATACCTATTATACTCTAACGTTGGCGCTCAGCAGTACAAGAGTGTTATATAGCATTATTGGGCTGCTTGGGCTTCAAATGCCGATTTTACAGCCGCTGAAATTCGTGACGTTGCACATTACATTCCGTCTTAGTCCTGGTGCGGTCCAGCGAAAAATACCCCCTCACACCATCTGAAATCTTCGAAGACTTTCTAACATCATGAAAAGTCGCTGGCGACGTCGATGACGAGACGGCGACGAAGACGGCTACGGGGACGGCGACGACGACGAAGACGGCGAAGTCCCCGAGGGGAAGGCTTGCCGCGGCGGCGAGGAGCCCTCTCGGAGCCTCCAAAGAGGAGACGCTGACGCCCAGAAGCCTCGAGAACCCCGCCGCTGCTCCTACGAGCGGGCGGCGAGGAGGAGGAGGAGGCAGGAGGAGGGGCAGGAGGAAAAGGAGGAAGAGGAGGACGGCGAGGAGGAGGAGGCAGAAGGAGGACGAAGAGGAGGAGGAGGAGGAGGAGGAAAAGGAGGAGGAGGAGGAGGACGACGAGGAGGATGGCGAGCGGGGCGGCGAGCGGCGAGCGGGGGGCTCCCACGCCGCCCGGAGGGCTACGCGCCGCCGGCCTACCCGGGGCCCCACCCGCCCCCGTACGGCGGCTACGGCCAGGGGCAGCAGGCGACCGCGGCGGGCGGGGGATTCCCGTCGGATGCCCCCCTCGCCGCAGCCGCCGCCGTCGAGGAGCGAGGAGCGAGGATCGAGGAGCCGTGTGCCCAGACCATTTCCTCGTTCCATCGCTGGTCGTTGTTTCAAGTTGCTTTGTTTGGCATCGCTCGGACATGTGGGTTTATGTTTGTTTCGGCGAGGACCATCGCGGAGCATCCCTGATCATCCAGCACGCAAGCCATGCAAGAAGCCGACAAATGCGCTGGGAATGGACGTCCGAGCGATGGCAAGTTCGGGGGGGGGGGTCCTGGGAGGCCCTCGTCACCTTCAGGTGGGTTCGCCTCGAAGTCCTGGTCCGAACGCGCCAGTGGAGAGCTCCTGGGAGCAGCGCTGTCGGTACTTGTTGGTTTTCCCAGCGGGGTAGCGAGGATGGATAAGGAGCGAGTGTTGCTGAGGTGGGAACCAGGGTCGAAGAGCGAAGAGGACGGGACCTCGATCGAGGAGCGAGGAGGAGGAGGAAGAGGAGGACCAGAGCAAACCCAGGGGGCATCACCGATGCTGCACTAGGCCTCCAATGACAAGACCCCCCCTATAAATTCCCTCCCTCATCAGCCCCTACGTCCGTCATACATCCCTCCCTCTGTACCGCGAGAAGCGGCCCCCATCGAGTGACGATCGCCCTAGGGGCCTGCCGTTGGGGCATCTGCCTCGTGTTGAGAGCTGCGCTGCATCTTTCTGGTCAGGCGTGGGGAGGAGGAGGAGGAGCAGGAGCAGGAGCAGGAGCAGGAGCAGGAGCAGGAGCAGAAGGAGGAGGCGGAGAAGGAGGAGGAGGCGGAGAGGGAGGAGTCGGAGAAGGTGGAGGAGGAGGAGGAGGAGGAGGCGGAGACGGAGGTTGGAGGAGGAGGAGGAGGAGGAAAGAGGAGGAGGCGGAGGAGGAGGAGGAGGAGGAGGAGGAGGAGGACGAGGAGGAGGCGGAGGAGGAGGAGGAGGCGGAGGAGGAGGAGGAGGCGGAGGAGGAGGAGGAGGCGGAGGAGGCGGAGGAGGAAGAGGAGGCGGAGGAGGAGGAGGAGGAGGAGGAGGAGGCCCCCTCTTCATCGGTCCTGCGCTCCTCGGAGGGCGGGCGGCCCGCGGGCCTGCCAGGCAGTTGTGCACGGCGCGCCGCCGTGGGAGCCCCCTGTGCTGGAGTCCCGTCCCCGCGTCGTCGCACAGTGAGCGGCTTGAATAAGGAACGCTTACTTTTCAAAAGGGGCTCGGTCGTTCCTTAGGTTTGCATGCATGTTTTACAGTTCCTTATGCGTTATTTGTTATTTTTCGTTCCTTATGCGTTATTCCTTTGGATAAAACAGGGGCTTCGTTCCTTATTTATCGTTCCTTAGGTCAGGCCGATGACTGTACGTGCTGCGACTGAGGCGGGCATGTCCCTCTGCAGGAGGAGTGCCCAGACCTACCAGCCTCGAACGTATCCCTTATCCCTAAGATTTGCACGCCCAAAGGCGACGAGGATCTTAGGGGTTCGCCCTCAAAAAAACAAGGGGATCCCAAAGATTGGCGTCGTGCTGAGGAGGTGCCCAGCATAGGGATAGGGATATGTTCCAGGCTGGTAACAAACATAGTCCAGATATAGTTTAGGGGCGGAAATTGAGTGTGCGTTTGGCTCTTGTGGGTCACGCCCAGCCTATAAAGCTTTGCGCTGTCTGCACGGGCACGGGGCGAGCGGCCATGGGAGGGGGCCGCCCTTGCTCCCTGCAGTGCTTCTCTGTGTGTGTCCGACCGCCTGGTGTGGACGTGGGGAGCCGCCCTCGATCGATTCAGCTGGTGCAGAAACGTTGTAGACGAAATTGCGCTGGTGGGCTTGTTTTCCACCACCATCAGTTGGAGGGGGAGGGGGTCCTCCTCTTCGTCCTCCTCCTCCTCTTCGTCCTCCTCCTCCTCTTCGTCCTCCTCCTCCTCGTCCTCCTCCTTCCCCCCATCCAACTTATGGTGGTGGGTGGAAATCAGACCCATCATGCGCGGTGCGAATGCGAGGCGATATTGGCATGCTGGAAACGGAAACCCTCCGTTCTTATAGTTGCGCGAGCGTTACGGCGAGAGGCCTCAGTTCATAAACGGCCCTCCTCGCCCTTGTAGCCGTGAACATGTTGTGACCCGTCGGATATCCCCACGCCAGCCTTTCCAGGCACAATGTCTAGGCGTGTCCACTGCAAGCGTCATCGCATGCAGTGGAGCAGTCGCCCAGATGGACTTGTGGACGACCGAATCCCACCGACGATTGGGAGGAGCCCACGCAGCCGAGTTTCCAGTACTGATTCACAGGCAAGCAATTGTTGGAGCCTTGTGGGGGCCTCGCACAAGCAGCCAGCGGGCAGTCCATAAACGCGGCCTAGGCGTGTTGCCCTGATCCGGCAAGCATGATAGCATCAAGCCGGACAATTGGCGTTTACTAAACGGCCCTGTGCGTTTACTAAACAGCCCAGCCCTGCCCTGTTCGATTCCTTCTTTTGGCCCTTTTACTAAACGACTTCGCGTGTCGGGGTGGTTATTATGGGGGTGGATGTTTTGCCCTCTACTATGGGCAACCCAATCCGATCCTCGACGTAGGAGCAGGTGCCTCAGCGCATCCATTTCATCCCGGACCGAAGGTCGTTGCGGAGCCGTCCTGAGAGGAGCGGGTGAGGAGAAGGAGAAAGATAAGAACAAACCGGAGTAACGAACGAACGAATTGCCATGCGCCGGAGCGCGTGAGCAAAAGACAATGTCAGCTTAATCTTAATCTCACCGTTTTGCGGGAGCGGCTGCAAGGCGGTTGTCGCCTGTCTGTCTTTGCAAGAAGAGGATGCGGATGAGGAGGAGGAGGAGACGGAGGAGGAGGAGGAAGAGGAGAAGGATACAGAAGAAAAGGAGGAGAAGGATGAGGCTTGTCTGCTTTCGTTACGAGAGCCTCCTGAAGGACTCTTGGAGCTACTCTGAGGCCTTCTTCAGGCCCCGTTGGGGCCTGGGTTTCTTTGGAGGTTGCCGGGAGCATCTGGAGCCGAGTTGGAGCCGCCTTGGGGCATCTCAGGCATTTCGGAGGCTATCACGAAACATATTGGGCTACTTTGTGCCATCTTGGGAGGCCGTCTTGGCACAACAGGAGCCATGCAGGTACCACCTAAAAGCCAACAGGGTCGCCTGCCACCTCGGTTCCCCCTCAGTCCAGACCCAGGTGAGGGGGAGGGGGTAGGGGTTTGCCCTCCCCTCCTCTTCATGAGTCTGGACGGGTCGTCTGCAAGAGGGAATAAGGGAAGAGGAAGAGGGAAGAGTGAGAAAATAATAACAGAAGTGGAAGAACACATGTCAAGAGCAATCCGGGAAGAAGGGGTTTTGAAAGATGAGGCAGAACACCCGTCGTACCACCTGCGCCCAGAGGGCCGGTGGGCTTCCAAGCTTCTGGACTGTTCTTGGGCAGTGAGGGGGGTCCCGTGGACGCCGGGCCTGCCCTGCCGTGGCGTCTTGGGGTGCAACAGGGAGGGGGCTCTCTATGAGGACGGGGTGCGGGACGTCTCTATGAGGACGGGGGGCTCTCTATGAGGACGGGGGGCTCTCTATGAGGACGGGGGGCTCCTCGCACACCGTTTGAGCCTTCTGGGGCCTCCGGGCGCCTGCTCGGTGCCCGTCGGCGCCGTCGCCGCCCGCCGCTCGGAGGAGGGGGGCGCCGGGGCGAGGGGGCAGTGGGCACCCTGGGGGCGGGCGGGGGAGGGGGCGCACGTGTGGGGCGACGAGGCAGTGGAGGAGGGGGTGGACGGGGTGCGGAGGAGCGGAGGAGGGGGGCGGAGTGGAGGGCAGAGCGAGGGCTCGGGCGGGTGGGGCACTCGCAAGGCACGCCTCCACATGGATTCCGCTCCTCGTCTCGTGCCCTCCGTGTCCTTCATGGGAGCTTGCGCTTGGAGACAGGGGGGGAGAGGGGGGAGGGATAGGAGCAGGGGGGAGGCATGCCAGGAAGAGGGGCCGAGGGATTCTCATCAGTTCTGCACGGCGTGCCCACAGCGAGAGGACGAGGAGGGAGGAGGAGGGACAGGGCGAGGACGAGGACGAGGAGCGGCCCATGAGATCCGAGGTTGCGAAACAGCATGAGCGCAGTGACTAACTACGACCGGAGTCATGGGCCCCGCATGTCTGAGGCATATTTCGAGCAGGATTGATCTGTGATGGCTCTGGAGCCCGAGACGAGGCGAAGTCGCCCGGTGCAGCAATGCAGCGCCAGGATCTCAGGGAGGCGGTGGAGGTGGTTGTGGGTCGGGGGAGAGGAGGGGCAGAAGAGGAGGACGGGGGGAAGAGGGTGGTGGAGGAGGGGGCGAGGAGGGCGAGGAGTGGTGGCGCGTTGTGCGGCCCGCGCTGGAGCCCGAGGCCGTGCCGCTGCAGCCCGGGGTCGGGCCACAAGCCGCCGCGCCGCAGCAAGGAGGCCCCTCGCCGCCATGCCCGGGGAGTCGGCCACGGGGAGGGTGCCACAGCAGGGGACGTTAGCCGTCGTCGTTGTCGTCATCGTAGACGTAACCGTAGTAGTAGTAGTAGTAGTAGTAGTAGTAGAAGAAGAAGAAGAAGTAGAAGAAGAAGAAGTAGTAGTAGTAGCAGTAGTCGTCGTAGTAGTCGTAGTAGTCGTAGTAGTCGTAGTAGTCGTAGTAGTCGTAGTAGTCGCAGTAGTAGTAGTCGCAGTAGTCGTAGTAGTAGTCGTAGTAGTAGTCGTAGTATTAGTCGTAGTAGTAGTAGTAGTAGTAGTAGTCGTAGTAGTAGTAGTAGTAGTAGTAGTAGTAGTAGTAGTAGCACTAGTAGTAGTAGTCGTAGTAATAGTCGTAGTAGAAGTAGTCGTAGTCGTAGTAGGCGTAGTCGTAGTCGTAGTCGTAGTCGTAGTAGTAATCGTAGTCGTAGTCGTCGTCGTAGTCGTAGTCGTAGTCGTAGTCGTAGTCGTA